GATTTTGTGACTTATTTTTGCAGAAGCTTATTGTCTACTTTATTTACTCCCTTACACTCTTTTCGCCCACTATGTTACGCTTCAGCAAAGGCCGTGATCCTTATAGGAAAGTATTTTTGATCGTGCTGTCATCAGGCTTCATAACATTTCCCTCGTTTTGTGTTTATTTGTGTTTCATTTTCCTTCACAAAAACATCAATCTCAGAACAAACTCTGTTCCAAAGGATGCCGCACTCCAGCAGCATTTCTCATGTAGACGAGAAGGGAAACTCCGAATGGTCAAGCTCAATCTGAACCCATGAGAGGACCTAACAACCTCTGGACAAGCGATTGCACTGTGATAAATTGAAGTAGGGTGATGAGTCTCACACAGTGCATGTGGTGAGAGCAACGAACACTATTACTTTGTCACGAATAAAAGGTCAGAGACGGTTCAATTTCTCGTATTAAAGCCGACGCCTAGTCCTTGCAGGATGAGGCATTAATTTATCCAGTTTTATTCAATTTCTCTATGTTTCAGCAAGCTCTTCTATTCTTATCGGCTCTATAGTTTTTTCACCAATTATGACGAGTCTGTGAAGCAGTGAACGAAGACGACAAAAGCTAGGTCACCTCATTCATTCGCATGTGGGCTAGAGCGTCCCAGAACGGCTATCTCAGAATTTTAGAATGAATCGAACTGGCCAGCGATAAAGGATACTCATAATAAAAATAACTATCTTAATGGAGAAATCAAGTCCTGACGCAAAGATTCAAACACGTTTCTAATGACGAATGGGAACAGACAATTGAAATGAAGGAAATGTAATGCTTACCGTAGTAGAAGTAAAAACTGACCATTAACTATCAGGCTTTTTTCGGTTTTTTTTTTCTAAAACTTCAATAGTTTTTTGACAACTTGAGTTCTGTAGATTTCAACAGTGTTTTTGTTCCTCAATAAAGGCCTTGTTAAGGTGCTGTAAAGGCCAACAGAATACTACATTCAACCTTCAGCGACCACTGTTCGCACTGCTGGCGCTGTGCTCGGCTTTTCACAAATTTTTCAATAATCACTTGACAGCATAAATCTCGACAATTCTGAAACTAAACTTCTGAAAAATTCATAAAGCGCTGTAAGTGGGAAAAAAAATTATACGCTACCTTCGGAGATAAATGATTAGAAATGGACCAAAAGCGCCTGAGCTTGCAAGAGAAGTATGACGAATTAGAATAATGAAAAAAAGAATTCGGAAATCTTTCGAATAAATAAGAAAATTGTCGCCATTGGGAACCGCAGATGAATCGCTGCGGGCACCGCGCATCGAGAAATACGCCGTTTTCGTTGCCTATTCAAAGATTTTCCTTTATTTTGGAAGTTTTGATTTTCACAAGATGTAATTGTAGATGAGACGGTATTTTATCGTTCCAGACATATTAGCTTTTCATTTATTAAAATTCAAATACTGTGCTGAACAAAAAAGACTTTTTTATTTATACATATTCTATTTTATCTATATTCGAAAAAATACACTTTGTTCCCAAAGGTTTAGCAAAAAAACATGTAATGTTGAACGTACTAGCCTATAAGCTCTCAACTAGAGTACTAATAACTCCCAACGAATAGTTGAAGCAAATATTCCTACGCAATGTCAGAATACGAGTAGATTTCCACAATGGCGTCGTATTTGAAAAAAGTAGATAATGAACCTCATGAACGAAAGCTCGCTCAATTATTATAGCGTTAAAAAACGGCCGGGTAAGGAATTTTTGTAGATCACATATATCCAGCAGCTTACAGCTTAATTAGGTTTAGCGCCGATGCGTCTTTACCAGGCCAATCCGTTGACGGCCTGTTTCTGACTGAATTGATTACCATGTATCAAAGAAAGATTGATAGTAGAAAAGGAGCCGCGGTAATACAGTGGTTAGCATACGTCCCTGGAATGAGTGAATTGTCTGAGGTTCAAAGCTTTGCATGTCACTGAGCATCAAAATGGATAGATTGAGCCAATCCAATGCATGAACGAAAGATCACATCTGTTGATCACCATAACGAGAACGAACAACTGTGGGCTTAAATTCATCGGCATCGAAGGGAGGTGAAGACGACGAAACGTTAGCCAAATAAATTTTTCTGGCCAGACTCAATTAATGGAAGGCGATATGATTGACTGGTATGGCCAAGTGTAAAGGAAAGTTGGCTCACAATGTTAAAGACATCTCTTTGAGTTCAAAGACTCATATTTAGGTAATGCTCAGTAGTCTATTCATTATTGCGCTGGTTATTTGAAAGTAAATAACGTCCGCCATACAACGATTTCCAGATGGTCAAGACTGCTTTACGTTGTGTGGATGAATATGGCGCACGAATCGACCGGAGCTAAGTCGTATATCATACCGACTTAACGAACTAAAGAGATGTAACTGCAGCTTTTGGTGGCATTAGTTATGGAAAGCGTAAAAGGGCAGTTTTTTAAAAATACCAGAGGAAAGAGGAAAATCTACCAGAATCAGAACTTATGATCTGTAGAAATATACTAGTAACATTGTTTTCGATCGAATGGGTGCGCAGTGGGAAGAAATGGTTTGGTAGTAAAAAAAAATCGTAATCACGAAACAGAAAAATCCGCTGGATCTTCAGAGGCTTGTGAATGCTTAACGTGAAGGAGAGCATGTAATGTATACCGCATAAAAAGATTTATCCAAAGAGGAACTACATTGATCGCTGATTCGTTGAGGTCTGCAAGAGAGAAGATGACAAAATTTTGAGCAACAGCTAAATCCAAACATCAGGCCGACTACCCTAGATGGACCACAGTTGAAGGAGACCCACACAAATGTAAAAATTACTGGATTCCGTGCGTTATATGAGAAACATCATCTATGTATCCAAACATATACTACAAATAACACTTCAGAAGTGGGTGCAGCTTTACTCATGTCAGAAGAAAATATTCAAATTTGTGCAAGCACACTGCTAACTTTGACATGAGCATCAACTTTATCACCCGTTATCACTCCGGTTGTCGAGTGACTGGAGTAGGTGAGAGCAAATTCCATGTTTGTTTGTGTCACTGGCAAGCTAATATTATGTCAATTATCACAATAACGCGGGTGATGCAGCAAACAAAGAGTGCTCTGCGACACACATAGGCGTCAAAGGTTCGAGAAAGCCTCCTAGAGTGACCAAGGTTCCCGCTCTCTAGGGTCAGCGAACTAGTAGCATAAATGTTTGGAAAGATAGATGTAAAAACTAGATACGCATTTGATCACCCCTAATAGTGCTTAATAATGTAAAGCGCCTGATACGTTCCTCGGACTTTTTCAACTTCTGTTTTTTTTCAACTGCAAGTTCAATACAATCAAAAGGAATGCATATGAGATGCAAACCAGTGAAGATCTAAGATTTGAACATACACAAGCTGAAACATTTTTTCAATCACATATTTACAGGGATCAATGTCACATAATTGAACAGACTAGTGTCATCTACTAGATATCTTCCATCCAATGAAAATCGAAAATCTAAGGTCGAGCAGCAGCTCACTTAGTGATGAATTCTTTATAGTTCCATTAGATGCAAGACCCTAAACGAAGGAAAAAAACTTATGTGACTTAGATGAACAAAGAGTTGCAGCTGATTCCGAATATAGCAACAGAAAGCTTGGGAAATAACAATGGAGAAAAAAAATAATGTGATTCACATGGACAAGAAAGAGTCTGAGCTGATTCAAAACGAAGCAAAAAACGCTTGGAAACGGATAATGAGAAAAACTAAAGTGATTCACATGAACGGAGACTTATATTCGAGTCTGAATAAAGCAAAACAAAAGCACAAAAAAAACAATTTCACAAGAAATGTGATTCACAAGAACGAAGAGTTGTAGCAAATTCTGATTAGAGACTAGAAACGCTTTGAAAATAACAAAAATAGTGCGATTTACATGAGCAGAGTTGTAGGTGATTATGAAGCTAAAAAAAGGTCGAAAAATAATGAGAAAAACTAACATAATTTACATGAGCAGAGAGTAATAGAGGATTCTTGATTTACAATGAATGGCAGCAGAATCGGCTTTACACTGATGGCCTATTCGTGGTGAAGGCAGTGTTTCGTTAACACATAGGGGATCTTCTGCCACAAAGCGAGAAAAATCAGTATGCCGATGATTGATTTCAATACCTGTAATAGATGAATTACACGTATCAGAAGATCTTCAAGAAAACAATATTGCTTTACCAACTATCATTAATGTTTTGAAAGAGAGCGGTCCAATACGAAAAAAGTGGAGACCCTGAGTCATAGGATTAAAGATAAAGCTTTTAGCGTGGGCCAATCAATGAGGGTCATCCATTCGTCTTGAACTGTTAGCTCCATTTGAGGTGATCGAATGCATATCTGACCTTCACAGTAACACTCCCAATAGCCTACCGCTGTATCCAGTCCAGTCAGCACTGTTTATCCTCTAAGACAAGTCTGGCGACTAATTTGCTAACTGTGGAGGGATGGATGGCTTGGTGAGCCATAAGCGCGAGATCGAACCATCAGCCCTGTGTGAGACACAAAGCATTTGTAACTACTGCGCCACGTGCGTTCCTAACGCTGAATTAGTCTTCACGAAAGTGGACAAACTTTTGTGCACTTAATCTTTTGCGAAGTATTCAAGTAAGCTGGTGTCAGATACATTGGAACGCAACTCCAGGTCTCCTCTGCACTCAAATGTTAGAACATTATTTAGAAAAAAAAAAGAACCTGCGCCATGTAATGCAAGGATGTCGTGCTTAGTAAAATAATATTTTTACGACGCTGGTGCAATCACTTTTTCGGTATAAACCATTGATACTTTTCCACATCACACAATACTCTTAGATGAAAGTACATAACATCACCACTGCTCAAAAGCAGTATAATTAATTAAAGACAGATCACACACTTAAAATAGCTGTTAGCGTAACTGAATTTAACGGCAAGCTGCTGACCCTTAAGGAAGTTTATATAGAAGAAGAGTGGTAGCGCAGTGATGGCATCGGTAGTGTAGTGGTAGCATGCGTCCTCGGTACGTGTGAAACGCGGGTTCAACTCGCGCATGATGCTGGATGTTTTGTATATTACTCAATACTTTTAGAGCTACACCAATCCTGATCTTGTTTCAGCCCCCTGAGAAAAACGTGTTTTTTGCTTTTTTCAAAGGTTTCCAATGTCGTGCGATAGCTTATACCTCGAGGAATGCGATAGCGTGCTCGGTTTGCTATAAAGAATGGTGCTTTTCGGTTATCCGCGGACAAACGAATATTTGACATCATTCGTTGGACAAGAACTTTTTATAAGAGTGTTAGTAATTATTCGAAAGCTTAAATCTGTGAATAGCTCGGTAAGTGGCCATTTTTCAAAAAAAAATCATTATAGTGCTTCAACTAAAGGAGAGCTTTGTGTTCTTCTCGCGAGATAGAGCTCTTTCTGTCGACTTTTGGTAATCATTTGATAGCGTAAATTTTAAAGATTCCAACTTTATGCTTACTTATTGAAAAAGCCGTTTCTCTGCAATGGAGCAGGGAAAATAAGATCCAGTTCACATACACGAACAAGGAGACTTTCGCTATTCTCAAGGGTGGGGCGGAACGAAGGAAGGATGTGACCGTTTCAGCATGGCGATTGGCTCTTCCATGGTTCACGGGAAAGTGCAACTTTGTTTTTCAATTAAGTTTTATTTCTCAAAACTCCAGATTAAACGCCCTGACTCTAATATTGAAAGGTTTTTTTTGCACGTTCATGTGCTTTTCGTGCATCCAGCGAAATGGTAGTTGATTTCCGCTGCCGATGTAGACACAATTTTACCTTGAATTTGACAGCGTTACAGAAGGGCTTTGCAAAAAACCGGCCACGTACCGGCGCTAGACAGAGATTTAAGCTTTTGAATGAGTACTAACCCTCTTATGAGTCCTTGTACAGCGAATGGGGTAGAACATCCATTTGTCAGCAGATAACTTAAAAGAACAAAAGGACTTTTGCTGTAGCAGTAAATCTGAAATTGTGGTTTCACACTCGAGCATTTTTCGTTGGAGAGAACTTTTCTCTTGGGCTTTTAGTATTTATTTGAAAGATTGTATCTTGACAATCTCAACCATCTACTTGATTACTACTTGATCACTGACTACTTGATTGTCAAAAAAAAAAAAAAAACTGTGTGTGGTGTAACAACGAAAAGGAAGTTGTTTTCGCACTGTGCGCGCATTCTGTGCTCCCATTATGTGGATGGGATTTCGCAACATTGGCACCAAGCGAGCAAGCTTTTACAACATAGCGGTTGATTAACACAAATTTAGATGGAATTTAGGTGTACAGAAACTGTGTTTTATCGTTCTATGGGCTTAGAGTTCTTATTTTCACTTCACATTGCAAAATAAATATGTTAATAATCGTAAGCCTAAGCCTATACACGAAAATCACATGAACGCGTAAAGAAAATCTTAGAGCATCAGAGTCACATATTTATGTAGAGCTTTTCAAAGCGGAGAAAAAAATCCTAAACTTGATAACAAAAATCGTACGCCACATGTGAATCGCGTTGCACGATGAATAAGAGGCGAGTGCGAAACCCGATGTTCTTTTGGCTGCTACAGCCCAATTAAGAGTTTTTTTCTGAGATCAGGTACATCATTGAAATTGCTGAAATCGCTGTCTTTTGAACTACACAATGACTACTGAAAGTCCAGGAGAAAGCTTTGGCCAGAGAAAAGCTCTCAAGTGTGTCTCAATTATATTCTCGCTGCAACAGCACAGTGAGAAATTTTTCCATAAACTCAGTAACTTGTTGAAATTCTCAAGATTTGAGCTACCAAATAATGACTGAAACCCTTTAGAGAACGAAATACGCGTTTTTCTAAGGAGCTCACAGGGTTGAGATAATGGAATAATTCTATATTACATCATATTACTGCTAAAAAAAGCAGTAAAAGAACGAGATGATATAGTTATAAATCATCAAGGATGAAGATCATAATTATTTGAAGATTACAAAAACGTTTGATAAAATGGGTTGCACATTAGAATTCTACTCTCTTCAGTTGTAAAAAGAGGTGCAGTCTATTGGAACATTAACATCTGTAAACTAGGCTTTTATCTTTTCAACTTTCTTGCGACTCTTCACTAACAGCTTGATATCAGTTTACAAAATCAGATTAACTCGAAAAGGAAATAGTCACTAAAAATTATACTTGTGGTCAAAACTTGAGCATGCTCGTATCGTAAAACCAAGCTTCAATAAACAGAAAACAACTGAAAAATTATGACGAAAATATTACACAGATGCAATATTCTTTGATAGTATTGAACTGGTAAGAAATTTTCTGAAGTTTTTCATTCTTATTGACTAATTTTCATTCGTTTAATTTTGTTTTCACTATCGATTAGAACAGCTTCATGCGAATGCTTCACTCCATAACGCGAATACATTTATTTCAATATTGAACGGAAACCGTGAGCAAAAACAATTGTTGATGTTACACGAGTATCGTTGTGTGCTAAAACAGCACATAAACCCATACAATACTCGTGTAGCTTCAACAATTGTTTTGCTCACGAGACAATTTCGTCTTCATGCAAATGTAAAGTGTTGTAGATCAGAACAATCGTAAGAAGCTGCTCTAAACGACAGTGAAAACCTGCGTCAGATGGGACTCGAACTCTTATCTCACTCTATCCGGGGCACGTACTCAAACCGCTGCACTACCGACGCCTATCTCGACGCCACTCTTTCTACGTTTAAGTGCATCTATCTGACAACAATCAATTGTCAACGGTCTGGCGTTGGTAGACGCTATAGTCATTGAATCCAGTCACGCTGGCAGATTATATGTATTGAATACTCAAGAAAAATTCTTTTGAATCAACCGCTTCTAACGGTGGTATGATGTTCCAGTATACTCAGTGATGTAGAGTGATGTGAGCAAGACTTTTGCACCAGGTAGGCTCGAACTCGTAGCTTGAGCTACCTCCCCTCTCCCCTTCCCCTCCCTCTACTACGATGCCATGAAATGTGGGTCCTAACTGACACAAAAGTTTTCATCAAAACATCATACCACCGCTAGAAGCGGTTAAATAAAAAGATTTATGCAAAAAATCAACGACGAAAAAAAAGGGTAAAGGATAAAAGCACTCGGCGTGATCAATCCCTGAAGGACGCGCCATGCATTAGTCTACAATGTTTTACTTCCTTTGAGGTGATTGAATGCATATCTGGCCTTTACAATGACTCGCGGTGGCCTCCCGTTGTACCGAGTCAGTGCAGCTTATCCTCCTAAACAAGCCTGAGACCAGTGTGGAGCCAATTCACCGACCCCGAAGGGAGGGTTGGCATGGCGAACCATGAGCGCGAGATCGAACCATTGACCTCGTGTGCGACGCAGGGCACATCTAACCACTGCGCCACATGCGCTCAACAGGAACGAATAGTTTGAAAGATTTTCTGTCAACTCAATAATAACAAATTGGACGATCATAACCATATGAAAAAGAATTAAAACATTAGCATCAAGATTAGAATTCTGCTTTTTCTCCATAGATACTAAAAGAGGGGCAGGCTTTGTGGCCATGAAGGCGGGATCGAACCACTAACCACGTGTGTGACGCAGAGCACCGCTAGCTACTGCGCCATATGCACGTTATTCTAAGGTATGAATACAGATTAAATACAGAGCTGAAGGAACTCACATGGACTGCACCATGAGTAAAACTGCTATGGAAGCCGAGAAACCGTGAGGAACAACGATCATCTAAACATCTACATGTAGACTTAGGAATAAGCTGCACTAGATCGATCTGAAGCCTAGAAGCGATAAAAATAAAGTATTACCGATTCGATCCTTATCATCACGAAACAGCCATATCGACCGTGCAAAGTGTCTGGCACTAGATCGTGGTGTTTCCCACTGCCGAGAATCGCTGCAATCACGTCATACAATCAATAAATCGATCCAAATCTGTACAATTGCCATAAATACAGTACTTATACACTTTACTTACCAACCTCTCGTCAGAAAGAGACAGTTTGAGAGGTAGCGAACGACGCATGAGTGATAAATTACAAAAATATCCTAACAGTAAATTTAGCAATTCGGACTGCCGCCATGCCGCTTCGCGACCGCGCGCAAGCGATCAGCCTTTGAGCAAACTTCCTCGAGCTAATTCAGGGCTTCGAGGGGTGACCGAGTGGCTATGACGTTCGTCGCAGCGGGGCTAGGGGCTGATCCCCACCCCACTCTCTCCCCCCCCCCCCCCCCCCCTCCTTCTCCCTAACGCTACCTCGCAATCAATTACGAATGCCTTACGGAACATCCCAGCCTGGCTATCATCGAGACTGCGAGACTGCAAGGAGATGTGCTCAGTTACTACTCAATAATGTTGATTAAGACGTATAAAAGCGAAATGGATACTAAAAGTAGGGGAAATGGCACATTGAGAAAAGCTGTGGTAGGGAAGAAGTAGAGTAAAAAATATTTCAGTTCTATGGAAACAGTACTTTCATTTATACGACTGCTTCGCCATTCGTGTTTGATAATTACTGCTTTTCATAACATATTTTAGGCCTTTCATGAGTTCTGCTATGGCACATATAAAGTGTTAGAACCGGACTCGACGTCTTGCCCGCCCAGGCTGCAGCCCAAACGTTTGCTGTGTATAATTATGCATTAATTTGACATAACAGAATAAAATTCGCATAAAAGTGAAGCAACCACCGGCGAGCAACCGTTCCGATCAAAACGCGGTTGAGAGAAAGGCTAGTCGAGGGCACCGACAGTGTAGTGCAAGTTGCGCTATTCCACAAAGATTAGTCGTGGTTTGAGACCACTATACAAACATCGAAGTCCAAGTTCTAAACGTTTCTCAGCAAATTTGTGGTCAAAAGCAGACCATCAAAGTAATGATGAAAAGATCAGAATTACTTTATGTATGTGTATATATAGATGCATATATATAAAGCTTAAAGGATAAAGTTTTTGGCGTTAATCAGTCCCTGAGGAATGCGCCATGCATTCGACTTCAATTTTTAACTTCGTTTGAGGTGATTGAATGCACATCTGGCCTTTACAATGACT